TATTCTAGAGGTCACTCCACAGTCCATCTGTGTAGGTGGGAGTCAGGGGGTCAAGCTCAGACTGGTCAGGGTCATCTGGGCCTGCTGGAAGTCCTGTCAGGGCAGTCACTATTGCTGGAGGGACTGTTTTGCTTTCCATATGCCTGAGTTAAGGGATAAGCTGGAAAGAAGAGCTTAAGGAAGAATGTGGGGCAAAGGTGGGTGAGTATGAGCAGGTGGGCAGTAAAGGTCAGGTCTTGGGGTCTAGCTGGTGACATAACCAAAGAACTAGGGACTGGGGAAAGCATTGAACCAGCAGACCTCAAGAATGTGGACTGCTTTCCATACCAACAAAGAGGTGTAGCTGCTACCGGCCCTTCCCACCCTGGAATCTGAGGACAGAAACAAGGTTTGGGGCTTAGAACTTACTGGGGACTGTCTGAGAGAAGGCACAGAGCACACCACTAGCAATTTCCAGCATGGACTATACCAGCAGACTCCACTAATGGACACTACTGACTGGAAATGGGGAGAGGGGTAAACCAGCAAACCCCAGTAAATCGGGACAGTCGATTGGAACTGGGGAAGGGATTCCAATGTGGAACTGCAGGCTGAACCGGGTGGTCAGGACTGGTGTTCTAGGATAGCCTCCTGTTAGCCTAAGCTGACCCAGTAACGGATGCTGCACTGGAAAACCAACCAGGAGCTCAAACACAGAGTGAAACTCCAGTCAAGAGGGACCAAGAGGGACTTACCAAGGGCCCTTAGAAATAGCAAGAAAGACAGTGAACTCAAAGGTTCACAGGCATCATGCCTGTCTCGTTTCCCTGAATGCCGTCCGAAGTTCACTTCAGACTCCAAGTCTGCTGCTGTGTCTGTTAAATAACAAAAATGTACTGAGTAAATTTGAAGATATAATTGGCTTTATTGATTGATTCATGGATCACGCAGCACCCCATGTAGCAAGTAGAGTGGAACTCTAAAGGGCTGCAGAGAAGGAAAGGTTCTTAACGGCAGGATCAGGAAGTCATAAACAGAAAAAAGGATTACTTCAGGGGACGTTATCTTCATCTGGGGACAAATGGGTTCTTTTATGTGGATGGGTGGACAGGTTACTTCATTGGTGCTGATCAGAAAATTCCTGACTGACCAGGTAGGACTACATTTCTGGGGGAGGCTATAACAGCAATGTAATACTATTAGGTATTACACCCCAGTTTGGTTGACTTGGCTTCAGTGACACCATTTGGGCCTGGGGTTTTCTTTTTAACCCTACGGAAGAAAGAGCTGGAGAGATTTGAATTAGAACAGCGACAACATGATATTACAGTCTTAGAAATTCAGTACATGCCACCCCAAAACATATTGAACTTTGGCATATTGACTGTTATGAGTGAAAGGCACTCGAAAGACAGCAAATACAAGAAAAACACTGACTTTTCTTTCTTTAAAGATGAGATTCCTATGTGAACTATGTCCTTTCTACACCAGAAAGTAAACACATTTTAATCATCAAGGACAGGAAGTTTAGATCAAGAGAATTCTGTACAAACAGATCTTGTTAAAATAATTCTGATCTTGCCTTAGCCTGCCCACATAGTTGAGTCAATTTTCCACCATTGCCCCTCTTTGTTCAACCTAACATAAAAGCAAATTGGTTTCAGAACTTCTTTGGATCTTCATCCCTTATGAAGGCTCTCAGGTCATGAAAAACTTCCATTAAATGAATTTGTATGCTTTCTGTTGCATCCACACGACTCCTGAAACAGAATGCTACGGGCACCAGTGACAGTCACGACAAAATTTATTGCAATGAGAGGCAAGGCCAACCAATCGGGACCGACACTCTTGACCAGAGTGCGGTCCCAACAGTCGGGGTACAGAGTTTTTATAGCCGACCACATCATCTTATCATCACCTGGGAACAGAGCAAAGAAACAGTTCCTAGATGGGGGTGGAAACAGTTCAGACATGCTCTTGCCCCAATCCAATCAAACACTATTCCAGTGGATTTTCCTTGAACTTTTGTTCCCTTGATTGGTAAGACAAGGCTGTTATCTCTTAATCTGTTATTTCCTAAGGCTACAGGTTAGCCCTACACTACAATTTAACCCTTACACTTTTCTCCTATTGATCTGTCTTATGTCAATTTCATTCTAGGGCCAAAAAGAACCCTAAGAGATTTAGTAAAGGTAACAGTTTGCTTCTCCTACAAGTCAAAGGACATCAGTGACCTCTATCAGCCATCAGCTGATAGCCAGGAAGAAAATGACAACCACAAGGAACTGAATTCTGCCAAGAACCTGAATGATGAGCAAAGAAAGGGATTCTTCTTTAGGGCTTCCAAAGGAATGCAGCCTGCCACCACTTAGATTTTAGCTCTATGAAACCTATGGCAGATTTCTAACACACAAGTATAAGATAATACATGTGTGTTGTTTTAAGCCACAAAATTTGTGATAATTTTCTTACAGCATCGATAGAAAGTGAATACAGCAAGAAATGTTGTATCTTTATTTCATTTAAGTCAAAGTTTATCCAATGTTGAATCTTCATTCTGCTGAGCTGATAGGGTGTTCAATCCCAGACATTATTGAGGACATTTTCCTTACCAGTGACATTCAGGGTCTCAAGGATCTAACCAGGTGTTGAAACCTCAGGGAGGCTCCTGGAACTGTCTGTCATCATTTGCCACAGTCAGATGCCATTGTCTTTGACTATCTGGTCCCATGGATTCTGGTGGTAGCATTAGGATCTTTACAAGGCTGGAATCGGTTCATCCCCTCTATAGAGGCACATGAAATCATTTCCTCATTTGTCCTATCTGGATGTTAAATCATCTCTGGGGAACGTGGTGGGAGTGGGGCTGTGACTTTGGTTGCTTTCTGTCCCACTCCCAGTTAGGACAAATCTTTCCCATAGGAGTTTTTGCTTTTACCCAAGGGCACTTACCCATCGGCACCCTAACACACACATACACATACATGCACACAGACATAGACCCACACGGTGGCCTGATATTGTGATGTCTCTAATCAGTTTTTACCATTCACACTCTCCTGAGGCAAAGAAGACAGGTTACCTCCTAGGATTTGGGAGATAAACAAAACAAATTAGCATTTTAATAGATTATCTTGCAACATTCCTGCACTCATAAATTGATAGTGTTGCTTAAAGGAAATTTTGCGCCCCTTCTTGGTGTCTAGGCATTTCCCAGATATTGGGTCACTGATGGTCTTAATTCTGACATGAGTCTATTCCAGGAGGGCAACTTCACATAAAGTAGCAGCTGCTGGGTAGGTGATACATATCCTTGGGCTTCTCAAGGCCAGGGTTAACAAACTTGAATATTGGGCGATTTCTTGCTTTCCAGAGGGCTGAATGACTCTTTTCTCCCAACTGTGGCTGCATCCCTGCTGCATGGGAGTTTTCTTTGATTCTGGTTAACCTCTGGGAGAACAGATTTATAGAGAAGCAAGGGTGGAGCAAGAGACCATTTATGTACCTATGACAATATTCTAAGCAAGAGATGATGGGGGCTTGAACCAGGGCAGAAGTAATACAAGAGGTAAATGACTGGATTTTGGTTACTTTGAAAGGTAAAGCCAGACATCTGATTGGGTTAAAGGGAAAGCCAAATATAAGTAGGCTTGTCAGGATTGATTTGCCCTCACATATCTCACAGCTGGGAGGAATTTTAAATGACTTAAGAGAACATTTCACATCTTGAAACCAGAGAAAAGTTGTCTAAAGGTTGTCACACAAGAATTTAGTTTTGGCAGTTAAAGAATTGGTTTTCCAACTTAAATCTGCAGCCAATATTTCATTATTTTCTGATTCACCTCTCTTTCTACAGTCTCTGGGTTTTCATTATCTCACCATTTCGGATGGCATTAAGTGTCAGTTCTTTCTCCCTTCCTACATCCATCACCAGGTGAGTCTGTCAGCTTTCTTCTCTTTCTTAGAACCCTCCAAAAAGAGATGAGAGGTATTGTTTCCAGGGGGAAAGAATCCAGAATAATTAAAAATATAATAGCCCTGTATTCCATTCATCAGCTTGGTTTTAAGATGACTGAAAACCTCATACTGAAATAAACACCCTAAGAAATACACAATACTCCTCTATTACTGTTAGTGGTAAATCTACTTTGTTTAATATTTAATTCCTTCATAGCTCTAGAATCAAATAATTGTGATTGCAAAACTTGAAGAACTGAGAAAACTAAGTTTAATTTTTAACTTTTTTTAATGTTTAGTTTTTGAGACACAGAGAGAGACAGAGAGAAACAGAGACACAGAGAGAGACAGTGCAAGCGGGAAAGGGCTAGAGAGAGAGGCAGACACAGAATCTGAAGCAGGCTCCAGGCTCTGAGATGTGACACAGAGCCGGAGGCAGGCCGGAACCCCCTAACTGTGAGATCGTGACCTGAGCCAAAGTCCCACGCTTAACTGACTGAGCCACCCAGGTGCCCCTAATTTTTTGTTTAAACGTTGAATACTGGTAGAAGTCACATAAAATTTTAATAAATCAGCACCCATTTTGGGCAAGTAGTACTTCTGCTTTCATTCTATGGTGGACTTCATCTTTGCTTTTAACAAACTGCAGGCTACATTGCTGTTATTCAGAAGCTGTAAATAACTTGGGCAAGGTAGTTATCATTCTATGGTTTTTTCCCCCCTCATCCAGAAAATCTCAGCCCTCTGTTTCCTATCTTAGGGGCCCCAGAAAACTTAAAAGCCTTATTGAACACTTGGTGTCTAGGGCAAAATAGTATGCTTGATGCCGAGGAGGAATACCAAGATGTACAGGACACAGAGCCCTGCCCTTCTAGAGCAAAAATTTGGATGAAGCGGGCCAGCGGAGAAACCAACCGTCAGTCGGTACAACCTCTCCTTTTTTGGCCTTTCGCTATCAAGTACATCCAGTGTGTATCAAGTGTGGTGTGCACTCATCTAGTTTAATTCCCAAACTGCCATCCTAAGGTGGGAAATGCAAAATTCTATTTAATTTTCACTTTTAAAGGGGTGATTATGGGTTTGCAGTCTTAGGTGTTTGCGGAGGGATTTCCTTTTTCCTTTCCCGGAGAGGTGTACCTAATTCCCACCTGCTTCCTAAGACAAAACGCACTTCCCTTCCTGGTCTAAGAGCTCACTGAGCACTGACCAATAGGTTCGGCCCGATTTCTCTGAGGGGCGGGACCTCGTGCCTGGGCTTTGGAGACCCGCCCCCCGTACGTGGCCTGCGTGCGTGACGACGTGCGGCGCGAGGCGGTTTCTCCAGAGTGTGGCGCCCCCCGGCGGCAGCGAGAACTCAATGTGACAACCGGACCTGAGCGCCTGCCATGGAGCCGCAGAAACAGGCGCGAACACCCGGGGACCCCGTCGCGTGGCCGCGTGGGCCCTCGAGGTCTCAGACGCCGGACGACGAGGAGGGGCCGGAGGGCAACACAGCGCCCGCGGCGGCTTTTCTGGGCGCGGAGGCGGACGACGCCTGTGCGGACGCGCTGTGGGAGCTGCCGGTGGAGCCCGCCGAGCGGAGGCCCGAGTGCAGCCGCTGCAGGTGACCGCAGAGCGGGGGGGCGGGGACCGTGGCCGGCGGCGGCTTTCGGGGGAGGCTGCAGCGCCCCCTGCCGGGAAGGCGGCTAGTCAGGCTCCACCCAGGGGAGCGCTGCCTTGGGCATCTCCGCGCGTGTGTCCGCTGGTGACCTTGGAATCACTCTGTGAAATTGCTGTTACAGCCTTGTAGTAAGAAGCCGTTCACTCAGGTTCATGAGCGTTTAGCCTTACTTCCTGCAAGACACTGAACGTGTCATGGGATGAGAGTTCTGCTGTTGACAAACTTGAGTATGATACGGGAAGTAAGGGGTAATGACAGTAATGCTTCCAGTAATGAACACTTTCCTGCTCGAGTGACATAGTCATCTCACAGTAAAAAAAGCAAAAGTAATTAGAGGAGACAGTCAAGGTGGCTAGGAGAATAGTTAAGATTGTTTTTTCTGAATCTGAATTCATTTATTGAGCACCTGTTGTGTGCCAGGCACTGTGCTAGATCTGGGGAATTCAGGCACGGAGAACACAGACATGGTCTCTGCCCTGATTGGGGCACTTACAGTCTAATGAAGAGACAATTTATTAAACAGGTAACGATAACTAGCCCTGAATGCTCACAGTATGCCCAGTTGTTTCAGTGATACCTCATTGTGGTGGTGTCCGTCAGGATTGCTTTCCCTGCTTGTTTGCGTTTCATGCTGTCCAGATACACGATTCTCTTTAACTTGTGGGTGTTCAGGATCTTTTCGCTTGGTTACTGAAGGTCTCCATCTATCACCTGTCTTTCTGTTGCCTTCCACAATCTTAACGGTTAGATAGTGCCTCTGCTTCCTCACCTGGGAATGAATAGCTCAGCAGTTTGTCATCACGTCCTGCACAGCCCTGACAAGGCTCTCGTTAAAGTCACCAGTAATCTCCCTCAAATGAAATCCACTGTATCTTTTTCTCTTCACTTTTATACTAGATCTCTTGGCGGCATTCTGGAGTTGAATGCCGACTTCTTGAAACACTATTTCTTTGGTTTCCCTGTGGTTTATCTGCTTTGTCTGCCCTCGTCGTCTTTACCTGTTCTTCTGAAAATCTAAATGTTGGGCTTCCTCAGCTCTTGATTCTAGATTCTCTTATCTTATAACCCCACACATTTTCCGCAGGTGATCTTACCAGTTTTCATGGTAAGATCGATACCCAAATACTTCTAGCTCAGACCTTTGTCCTGAGCTCCAGACCTATGCATTCATTTAACCAGTGTTGATGGAATGCTTTGCAGATTCTTGGTAATATGGTGCATTCTGTGCCCTCATGGGTTGTTCAGTCTGTTATTGGATACAGATAACAAACCAGCAACCAAATATGTAATTATGGAACAGAAAAGCAAAAGCAAACAAACAATGAAGCAAAGGAATGGGATGCTGTGACATAAAATAGGATGGTATCAGGAAATACTTCTGAGGAAATAGCATTTATACTAAAATTTGAAAGATGAGAAGAATCCGGGGAAGAGAAAAGAATTCAAAGAAGGAGAACAGAAGGCCAGACTGGTTTCATGTCTTTACTACTTGATTGCTTGGAGTATCTTATGTTGGACATTTTGGGCTTTTCCCAGGGTTGGGTTGTACGACCCCAGAGGAAGGGATCTTGAGTGTAGGGATCTGTTTATATCTCCTAAGTGTACTATCGAGAGTAAGACATTCAATATAGACTTTTGAGGAGGATGAATAATTTGTGTCTAGAAGGGACTGCATGTTTGAATGGAAGGGGTGTACGAATACAATTGATTTAAACAAGCTCCCTAAAGGTGTTAGGAGATAACACTTAACAGTGCTGCAAAGGGGTCACTAGGATGCTAAAAGACAAGTTATTACAAATATAAACCCAAGGCTAAATTATCATGCTAGCTTTATCATCTAGTTTTTGCTCTATTTAGAACTGCTGATTATAAATGCTATAGTTTTTTTTTTTTTTAAAGAAAATTAGTCTCGTACATTTAGCGAAGATTTAAAGTTTTTCGAGTCCACTCCCTGCTCCACTTAATAGATTTTATTTTTTAGGGAAGTCTTAGATTCACAACAAAATTAAGTGGAAGGAGTAGAGACCTATCTTCTGCCTCCACCCTGGTATCTTCCCTCATTAGCAGCGTCCCCTGCCAGAGCAGTACATTTGTTAAAATGGATGAACATCATCATAATTCAATGTGCATAGTTTTACATTGGGGTCCACTCTTGGAGTTGTACATATTTTGATTTTGGAAAACTTGATAATAATATGTATCCACTATTATAGTATACTATAGAGTATTTTTACTGTCCTAAAATTTTCTTTGCTCTGCCTTTTCATCCATCCCTACACCCTAACGTAATCTGCTTTTTAGAAAATAAGAATGACTTTGATTTTAGTTTATTTCCAGTTACATTTAGTTAATATTTTAGGATTATGATTCATTCCAACATTTGTGCACTTTGCTTCTCCTACTGAAATTTTGTACCGTTTAAAAGTTCTTCTCCCCTTTGGCATAGTATGCATTTTATTTATTTTGATTGGTTTAACTAATTTTATTATTATTAGTTTTTTACACTTTTTAAAATGTTTGCTGTTTTGAGAGCGACAGAGAGACAGAACATGAGCACAGGAGGGGGAGGGGCAGAGAGAGAGGGAGACACAGAATCCGAAGCAGGCTCCAGGATCTGAGCTGTCAGCACAGACTCTGATGCGGTGCTTGAACTCACAAACTGCGAGATCATGACCTGAGCCAAAGTCAGACACTTAACTGACTGAGCCACCCATGTGCCCTGTTCAACTGATTTTAATTGGTTAGATTATCATTCTAGAAGTCTGGAGAATATTTAGGTGTTATCAGTAAAATATAAGCTAATTGATGGCTCTTTATATTTTATTTCATTAAGCTGTTAGGGTTATACTAGTTTCCTGGATGAACTTACCTACATTTATACTTATAATAGTTCTTAAAACCAAAATGCATTCTTAGATTTGATCAGCAAGTCACAATTATTTGGCCATTTACTTTAAGCAGTATTCACTTCTCTAAACGTATTACTGTAATTGTCATAGTCTTGGAGTTCCAAAAATTGGTTTTATTCAGGAAGTACAAACTCAGTTTAACTTCACAGCAGAATCTTGCTAGTTGGAAATACAAGTGCTCTGAAACATGAATGGGATATTCTTTCAAAGATCCCAAACTAATTTGTTATTGCTGGATACATATTAAGAGTGTGTTCCTCTTGAGGGAATAGGATGTACAGGAGTACAGTGTATAGAGAAAGTGTATATGGACAGCTTGGTGGAAAGGAGGGAGTGGAAAGAGGCAAACCTGTAGAGATTAGCAGTGGTTGCTCTCGGAAGGACCAGGTAAGCAGTTAGGGAGGTTAAGAAAAATTGTGCTGAATGTACTAGGAACCAACAAACAAAGCGCTGGAGCATTTTTTATTTTTTAATTTTTTAAAGGTTTATTTATATTTAAGAGGGAGAGAGAGAAAGAGTGCAAGTGGCAGAGGGAACAGAGAGAAAGGGAGACAGAATCCGAAGCAGGCTCCAGGCTCCAGGTTGTCAGCATAGAGCCCGACGTGGGGCTCGCACACACCAGCTGTGAAATCATGACCTGAGCCGAAGTTGGACGTTTAACCGACTGAGCCACCCAGGTGCCCCTGGAGTATTTTTATATTTAGATGATTGTCACAAGTTCAACTTCATTAGGTGGCTTTTAGCTGTAATAATTTATATTCTATTTTATTAAAAAAATGCAAACTAGTTGGTGATATGGTGGTAAAAGTCTTGACTGGGAAGAGTTAAGGCCTCATTCTAGTAAAGATGCTAGGCATCTTAATTATACTTTTACATCTTCTATAGATAAGGCCATGGGTCTGAGGATAAGACTTAGAAACCACTTGCAAATCATTGGTCCTAAGAATAATGGAATAATGTGAAAATATGCAGTATTTTTTAATTTGTCTGAGGGAGGGAAACAGTGGCAAGGGCATGCACACAGAGTGACACAGGCCCTGAGGCAGAAATTTTTCTTTCTCCAGTGGTTTCTTCCCCCAAAAGTAAAAAATTATAATGATTATAATATACATACCAGTATATTTAGTATGTATGTATGTATGTATGTATGTATGTATGTATGTATTTAGTGCCCATATGTGTGCATGAGCAGGGTAGAGGGGCAGAGGGAAAGAGAATATTAAGCAGGCTCCACAGGACGGTGAGATCATGACCTGAGCCAAAATCAACAGTCAGATGCTTAACAGACTGAGCTACCCACGTGCCCCTAGCACACATTTTTTGAACACTGACCACATGCAGGTTACCTGTCAGGCCTAGGTATTTTACATGCGATATTTTATTTATTTCTCATAACAGCATTCTAGAGTTGGTGATATTGTTAGCTTTTAAATAACGAGAAGGTACAACACCAAAAAAATAAATAATTGGATTAAAAATGGGCAGAGAACCTAAACACATATTTTTCCACAGAAGACATACAGTTGGCCAACAGACACATGACAAGATGATTAACATCACCCATCATTGGGGAAATATGAATCAAAAACCACAATGAGATATCACTTTACACCCAACAGAATAGCTAGAATCAAAAATTCAAGAAATAACAAGTATTGATGAGGATGTCGAGAAAAGGGGACTCTTGTGCATGCTGGTGGCAATGTAAATTGGTGAAGCCACTGTAGAAAACAGTATGGAGGTTCCTCAAAAAGTTGAAAATAGAACTGCCATATGATCCATTAATTCCACTACTGGGTGTTTACCCAAAGGAAATGAAAACTCTAATTTGAAAAGATACATGCACCCCTGTGTGTTTTGCAGCTTTATTTTTAATAGCCAATATATGGAAACAACCCAAGGTTCTATCTATAAATAAATGGATAAAGGATATGTTATGTGTGTATACATATGTGTGTGTGTGTGTGTATTATTTGTAATATTATAACATGATATATTTTTTGTATATATGTAAAATGGAATATTCCTCCGCCA